GGCTCTACTTGCTTCCGTGGAAAAACGTTGTTAAGGGTTTCACTTGCTCCCATGAAAAAACACATTGAGGGTATTGCTTGTTCTTGTGGAAAAGTGTTTTGAGCGTTTAATGTTTGATCCCGTGAAAAAAAGCACATTTCCTTGAGTGGATTTCAAATTCCTTTGTTTTCAAAGATGTGGATGTAGGCACTAGAAAGAGCTGAACCACCATAAAATCTTTGTGTTTGATTTTAATTTTCTGTATTGTGATTTATTGCTTGCATGCCTTAGAAAAATCTTGATTTCATTTTAACACAGAAAGAACTTTTATTTGCTAAATGATTTGATTTTTACACTTATTTTAAAAGGATTTTTATTAATTACCAATTCACCTTTTTCCTCGTATATATTGCTTTGAGCTTATTCTACTAACAAGTTAAAAATTAAATATTTTTCATCAACAAATGCTATAGGGATCAATCCTTTTTAAATAAATATTTGTTGATCCCTTATTGCCTTGCAAAGATTGATCCCCACTAAATAGAATTCAAATTGTTAACGTTAAGGATCGATCCCTACTAGCCGTTAGGCACATTTTGGAGTGATATAATAACTCTTTTCTACACCATTTGTTCTCCAACAACTCTAAACTTTTTTCAACTATAAAAGGGACTTCTTACGCACATTTTTTAAGGTAAAAAAGAAGGAAAAAATGCCATATGATCAAGTATAAAGTTCTATGAAGAAAAAGAAAAAGAAACCAAGCTAGAGCAAGCTTACATTTACATTCTACCTTTGTAACCATCTTATTATTATCATCTCTTCCATACTGTACTCAACTAGTAAAATTCACCTTTTAGAGGTATTCTTGCTATTCAGCTTGTAAAAGAAAAGTGGTTATACCTTAGCCTTCAAAGGTAATGTCTAGAGGTTGTGCTTGATCCTTAAAAAGGAATAGAGGTTATGCCTTCACCTTCAAAGGTAGTGTTTAAAGGTTGTGCTTAATCCTTGAAAAAGCATAAAAGTTAGTGATTAGAGGTTGTGCTTGAACCTTAAAAACGCATTGTCGTGACTTTTAATGGTCAAAGTACACCATAGGTCCTTACATATAAAAACCTAAATTTTTATAAAAGGGTAAATTAGTAATTTGACCTTAAGGTATAATGCTTAATTTTTTTTGTGAGCGTTTATCCTCTATCATACATGATGTCGTTTATAAATTATAGTCCTTTCCACATTTTTTACCCTCCTTGACCTTGCAAATTTGTTTGGTTGTCACCATTAAAAGCAGAAATTTTTTTAAGTTTAAAGAGGTAAATATATGAAATTTTTGTAAAAGGTTTTAATGGGAATGAAAAATGTTAGTAATGGTTCTTTTGATATTGAAATGACTTAAAATTTTTTTCATAATTCTAGAAGTATGTTTGCTACCATAAATGAAAGCCCAAAATTTAATTTCAATCGAACATTTTTTATTTTGTTCTTGCAACCAAAATTTAGATTTTGATTTTTTTGGAATTTGACTTTTTAGATATTTTTATTGAATCCAAATAGGGGATGCTTGCTTATTTACATCAAATAGCTTAAGTAAATGGAGAGTAAAAAGGAAATGAAGAATTAAATAAGCCTAGAAATTGTTAAAGACACCTAGAATACATTCAAAACCAAAAGTATCGATACATGTTCAAATGTATTGATACATGAAATCCGAAAAAGGCTTTTGATGAACATATATCGATACATGTTCATCATATATTGATACATGAAAGCCAAAACAAAATGTATCGATACATGTCCCAAATGTATTGATACATGCATCTTAGTCAAAAAAGTAAAGGTATTTTAGAGTTTTTCTCTAATAAAACATACCCTATACCCTAAAAACCCCTCAAACACCTTTATGATCCTTAACACAACTTTTCAACTTTCTTTTCTCTTTTTTCACTCCATTTTCACTCTAAGCACCAAAAATCATCTTCAGGCATTTAAAAATCATTCTCAAGCTCAACTTTTGATTTTACACACTTTTAAAGGTAAAGTTTTCTCACTCTCACACTTAAACTTTTGGTTTTGATTTTCATAATCTTTGGACTTGTAACAAACCCATTTTTAATCTTTAAACTCAAGGTTTTGTGGTGGATTAGACCCTCTCATGCTCACCAAGGTAAAGTTGGCTCAAACTATAGCTAGTTGAAGTTGATATTCATGGTTAGGTTAGATTTAGTTACTGATTTTTGAATTAATGCTTAAAAGAAGAAGTTATGGAAAGGAAAATGGTTATTGTGAAGGATATTATTAGAGAACAAGGCATTAATGATGAAAAAATTATGTGCTAGGTATTGTTGAAGAATTTCATACTTTTGGAAGGGTTGAGTTTTCGACAAAAGGTGCTAAGAGGAAAGGCATACTTCAACGAGGTGGGTAAATATTGCATTTTTAATTATTTTGATATAATTAAGCATTGCCTATTCTACAATCTCGCGTGAAAATGTATTTTCGATGAAACATGAGTTTTATAAGGATTGCATTGTGAACTATAGTATTCAAGTATGTTTTAATGAAAGCTATATATGGTACGTAAATATGTCTACTAGGTATTTAGATTTGTGGATGGAGAATAAGCACTTTGAATGTTTGATATCTCAAAACTTGAATATTTGTCTACAATTGTTTGAATCTTTGAATTGAGAAATGATTTTCTTTGAAATGGCCATAGCATTTGGTCACGTGGACTTTAAGATAATGGATTAGGTTGATGACAATGATTTAGTCTTGTTTTGACCCTTTTTTTATTTTATTGGTGAATAGATTCACCTATTCATTTTGGAAATGAATTTTTGGTTAACTTTGGAACTTGTAAAAAAGTTTTAGTGAAACCTATTTAGGTTGAAGACCTGCAACTAGATACAGTAGACATTAGCCATCGCACACAATAATCTGTATCCTCTGAGGTTGGTGAGTATATGCATTGAACAATTTTGGCATTACAGCCAACTCTGTTCTGCTTGGTAGTTGATACGTTCCTACTTTTTTGATATAGAGTCAGTGGCTTAGCATGCTAGACTCAATTCATTTGATTGTTATTCTTAATTAGTGCTCATTAATCCATTTAAATTGTTATTGGATATAAATTTAGATTCCAATCTTGAGATTTGTTTCAATTTTGATGTTTGAAATTTTGATGTTTGAATGTGAAGTGTTATTCACTTGTTTAAGGGCTTAGAATTAAGCTTTAGGCTGAGGAATTAGGTTTTGTAGAAAATGTATCAATACTTCTAAAGAATGTATTGATGCATGTTCTTCAAAGATTTTGATAATTGCATTCTAGATGAAAAGTATCAATACATTGGGTAAATATATCGATACATTAAGACCATGAAATCCTAGAAAGCATTTTGTTTGAAATGCATCGATACATCTGAGTAGTGTATCAACATATAAGGCTTATTTCCAAACTTTTACAAATTTTAACAATTTTTTACAAAAACAAATTGTAACACTCTGTACCCTTGTATAGAAGTCAATATGACCTTATCAATAAGATGAGGGTCAATTGATGCTAATCTAAGTGTGAAAGAGTGGAGACGGGTGGAAAAGGATATTTTGGAATAAAATATTCCATATGCGAAAGAATAATAATAAAATAATAATATTTTATCATAGATGAATTAGTGATTTAAAAATTACGATTTGGAAGTGAACTGGGACAAAGTGGACACTTTAAGACCCGAGGAGACAAGTGCAAAATTTTGAAATAAAATAATATTTTATAAATAAAATAATAATAAAAAATAATAATATTTGATCTATTATTGAAATTAGTCATGAAAAAGGATCATATGGCTAATCTAAGTGAGAGAGAAGAAGTAAGAAAGAATTTTGAAGAAAAATGACGTAAGTGGGGCTCGCGTGCCTTCATCAAATAAAGCAAAAGAGGGTAAATATATGTCTAAATATTATAGTGACACTTTGGTGAAGTAAGAGTTTGATATTTTATTTGTATAAGTGTAAAGGAAGAAAAATAGAAGGAAATTGGAATTACAGGAATGATGGGAGGACCTAATTGAAAGGAATAAGAAGTTGAGGGGTGGAATTGTCAATAATGAAAAGTAAAGGGGTGAAGTTGTAATTATGAACAAGTCGAAGGATCAAATTGCAATTTATGGAATGATTGAAGGACCAAATCATAAGTGATGAAAAGTTTGGAGGTCAAATGGTAAATAAGCAAAAAATTGAGGACTTATGTGTAATTTCACCATTTTAAGTTAAATGGAAATTAACTAACAAAGAAAAATTAGATTAGGTGGGAGGAATGAACATGCAAAGATATACATGCAAGGATGTACTTGTAGTGAGGAACATGTGGGACTCCCACCATGTGACAAACAAAAAAGCATAAGACAAATGAATAAAATAACACATGCATGTGTATTTTTAAGTTAAAAGAATGCATGGATCATTTATGCATAATGGACACTTGGTGACAATTAGACTAAAAGAAGAGAAAATATAGTTGCATGTAATGTCATTGGCCAAGAAGTAGGCCAAATGGAAATTAAGGTGGGAAAGTTGCATAAAAAACCATTAGGCACAAATAAGGTGGGATTAAGTGGAAATGAATTAAAGAAAGTATATAGATAGTAAGGAGGATTTCTAACTAATGTGGAAGAAAGGAAATTGGTGCATGAAAACCTATTGGTTGGTAAAATAGCCAAATAAAAATAAAAGGCAAATGTGTGAATGAAATTTGATTGGTTAAATGGGTGGCCATATAAATACCAAGTTTCAAGAGTAAAAGAGAAAAGGGAATTGGCCTTGAGAAGTTGAAAGAACCAGCCATTGAGAGAGGAAAAGAAAGAAGAAATTACTTTAAGAGCTCCACCCGAGCGGAAGAAAAGAGAATAAAAAGAGAAGAAATTGAGGGAATCTCGAGTTTGTAAGGATTCAAAAGAAACTGTGGGTTTCCTACTTCTTCTTTGTTGAGCCTTGATGCTTACTTACCATTCAAAGT